TTCATTTACTATAGGGAGGCGACACAAAAGTAGTTCTAAGAGCATAAGTAGTGGTGATACAATGTGGGTATCATTAAATATAAAATTATTAAAATTTGAGTAAAAAGAAGAAAGAGAGTGTTTTTGATTGAAATAATGGGGTGTATTGAAATATAAAATTAATAAAATTTGANTAAAGAGAAGAGATAGTGGATATTTTTGGAGAGAGAGTATCAAATAGTTGATACTTTGATACTTTTGAAGAGAGAAAAAGTGTGTTTTTAATAATTTTATATTTAAAGAGAGTATAAAATTAATAAAAGTTGAGTAAAAGGATGAAAGAGAAGGTATAAAGTTGAGTAAAAGGAAGAGAGAGTGTGTGCTTTAATAATTTTATATTTAATGATACCCATGTTGTATCACTAATGCAGATGCTCTAAGGAGACATAAATGTGTATCATAAGATGAATGAAATATAGTAAAAAAATGTTCGAAGAGAATTTGACTAAATTTTACAAAGATATATGCATAAGACTAATATAAAATATTTTAGATCACATATACTATTTGAATAAATTAGTTTTCATAAAATACATGACATGAATTATGGAACCGGGTTATCCGTTTCTAAGTTGAGCTAATTCGTTTCACCATTTAAACGTGATATGTGAAATGGATAAAGACATTCATGACTGGATCGAAAATTATCTTATCGCACGTTACATTTGTTTTGATGGGTGAAGCGTCATCACTAAACTCATTGTAACATCTTAAGTATTTCATTCATGCCGTTGAAGTAAATGTAGTTCATAGTAAATGTAGTTCATATTTGACACATCCACATTTAATGATTTTTGCGATGAAGTCAACATTAAACTTCTTGAAAAATATCCATTAAACTTCAAGGGAAATATCCTTATCGGACTTTAATATGAAAAGAACTTTCTTCAAGATCAAGGATCGATGGATGGTCACCGAGGTATTTTCATGTTCCCGTAAAGTTCATAATTTACTTTAATTACCATAACACTTAGCAATTTGTTGTTTTTCAAATAACAAAATTATCCCTGACAATATTTATGTTATATATCGCTCGATAACTTCTAAAGAATTTGCCTGTGATATACACATATTAAATTAGCAAGATATACAAACACTATTCGACATACTATTCAATTTTTGATGATTTGACCTTACCCCTAAAACAACATTAGAGCACATCTCTACTCAGTACATAAAATAACATATCAACTCCACAATCACTTTTCTCAAACAAATAAATGATTACATTGTAAAATACCACTTTTCAAGTGTCACTTTACAAAAATACCACTTTTTCAAAATTACTTTTTCTTTATATTATTTATGTTTGGGTTAATTATGTTCTATTAGGGTTTAGTTTTGAGTGTTTAGGAGGTTTTAGGTGTCAAAACATTTTTTAGGGTTTAAAATTTTAAGATATAGGTTTTATAAATCTATAATTAGT